AAGGCAGACAAGAGCAGTGGCGCTGGCAGTGGCTCGGGCAGTGGCTCCGGCAGTGGCTTGAAGAGGGAAGCTGATGGCACACAAGGCCGAGTTGCCAAGAAGCAGAAGGTGGAGACCCTTGTGAATCCAGAGGTCGTGGCCAAGCGATCAATTCCCTTGAAAGATCTTCCGAAGCCACTTACATGGGAAGCAGACTTGCATCTGCCAAAGTCTGCCAAGGCAAAGGTTTCAGTGATTATCACTTTGGGGGAGAGGATCTTCTTGGTCAATCACAGCAACGACAAGGACGTGGTGTTGGAGAAGAACACCTGCGTGGCCGGATTCTACAAGGGGAAGTGGTGGCAGCACAAGGGCAGCAAAGACCAGGCTTCTGTCAAAGAGAGTGACATCTTGTTCACACTGAAGGATGCCGACAGCTTGATCCAGATCGGAAGCAAAGTGCACACCCTGGGCGAAGCAGTGCAGGAGATCGTAGACAAACGAGAAGCTCCCCCGGCCCCCCTTAACTCCACGCTTTTACCAGCAGCTAGCCTAAAAACGTTCGGCCCTTTCTGATATTAGGAGCGGCGCAAAACCCAGCCGGATGTGACTGTGTCCTACCACAAGATCTGCGATTCGCCGACAAGCACAAAGCCAGCCTTCTTCACGATGTCTCAAACTCACACAATCTATTGGGAGATCCAGGCAATCCCGGCTGACTGCATCCAGCATGATTTTGGTACTGGTTTCTACTTTTGGAGTTGAAGCCCCTTTGTGGGGGAGTTGTGGAACATGATTGCTAAGCTGGGCTTGCTAAGCCCTTTGTGTCCTGTGCAAGTCTGTCAGAAAGGCAAGTCGACTGTGAAGGACCAGGATGGCAAGACATGTGTCCCGGTCCATCACATGGGCGGAGTCATTCCATTTTCTCGGTGGGAGACATGGGCATCTACTTTGGTGTGGGCCTCTAAGTGGTCGCCGACCTCCGCAAAGGGCCTGGTTCCATGCCGACCTTTGATTGTCTTGAAAGAATCCGTGCCACTCAGCCCTCAAACGGCAATCGAGCTGACAGCAAGTGAAGGACCATCAGCCGAGCCCGTGGCGTAAGAAGGCTGAGCCAAGCTTGCAGGTGCCACGGCACCCGAAGGTGTTGTGACTGGTCATTGGCCTCTTGATTAGTGTGTGCAGACGGTCCAGACACCAACAGTTAGTCAACGTACTCTTCGGCACCTGAAACGGCAAGCAAATGTGGGAATGCCTGGCCAGCACAGCTACCTGCTTTTTGAATCTAGTTTTCCAGGACACAAGCGCAGGAGATTGTACCGATTGCGCCTCTGTGTTGGCTCGCCGCCGGGGATGTGCCTATGTGTTCATTGGCTCGCCTCAGAGTTCACATAAAGAGTATAGAAGACCAAACTGCAAGAATGCTGCTTTAATTTTTTATGAATCACACATGCTGCTTCTTGTTACTGTTACAAGATCCGAATGGCTAGCCAAGAATTATTTGTTTCTTCAACTGCCTTGCACCTGAGACCGTTTCAGCCAGGCTTCTTGTTGGGTTTGCAGCATACAGTAGCCACACACAGAGACTAATGGAACTCTGGAGCAGGTGTCTCATGGCAGTTTAGAAAGGTTTGCACTGCGAAAGCCAGTGGCATGACAAAAGGCAGCGACGAGGTCACTGTGCAAGCCCAGAGCAGTGCGTTTTTTTCGACATGACCTGAGGGCATGGCAAAATAGTCCTGGCTGCTTCGAGGTCACAGCCTCCAGGAATCAGTCTTCGTGTGCGTGCGAGGAGAAGGTGTACGCAAAGGCCGGACATTCTGTCATTGTGGCGATCGCTTCTCCAGAGCTTTGCATTAACAGTCCAGCCTGTACACGGAGCAGTGAAACAAATGCGCGAGGCTTTGAGTACATCTTCTCTTCCCATGCACATGAAGGTGCGTGACAGACAGACAGATAGATATAGAGAGAAACACCGACAAGGACAAAAAAGACAGCGAGAGAGAGAGAGAGAGAGAGAGACAGACAGAGAGACAGAGAGAGAGAGAGAGGGGAAGAGAGAGAGAGAGAGACAGGGAGACAGAGAGAGAGCGAGAGGAGAGTGATTGTTTGTGTTTATGTATATATGTATACACATGTATTTTTGTGGTTGTCTGTCTGGGGTACGTGTCAGTGTGCGTCTGCACGCACCTTCAGGTCTGACGATGTTGAGAAACATGGCAGTCATTTCTTCTTCTGATTCTTCTTCTGATACGATAAACGCAGAAGACGCTTCAGGTCTGCGTTCTGCTCCAAGATTTCACCTGCTTGGTCCTCAGCAATCTGTCCGTATCCTCGGAATGTCCTGTGCAGACACAGGACTGAAACTGTCAGTGTGGACAAGACTTTCGGGTAGTGATGTGGCCGGCCTGGCATCCGCGATTCGTGCGTACAGCATGGCAACCTCCTCTGGCACAGAGGCCAGTTTTAGATCCTGCACCATCTTCTGTCGACCGCTGTGAGACCTGACTTTCTCCGTGTCAATCCAAACACCTTTCGGAGTCTGAAACGTTTTACGAAGCCGCTGGATGGCTTTGCACACAGTGTCTTTGCATCGATTTACTTGTTTGCTATCCTTACGAACAGCAGGAAACAACAAGGCATTATTTTCCTTTGGGAAGGTCCACACATCTTGGAAAGGACGCTTACCCAGGATTCCTCTTGCGCGGCTCCTTCGTTTGCTAAGACCCTTGCTTTTTAAATGGCGCAAAACCTGAAACACGGCCGAAATCATGGGTTTCTTCACAGATTTCTGGCCTTTGAGCGGCTGTATCAAGACTGTTCGAGCCTTCCAATTGAAGTGTCCTGCACGTAGCTGTAATGCTTCTGTAACTCGCAAGCACAGAAGATGTGTTAGGAGCAAGCAGGCGTGCAGCCAGCATGAACCACTTTTGTGAACATGTGCTAGCCACATAGCCCACAACTGCCCGGGCATGCTGGATGCTTTTCCTCTGCTCTTCACGGATCTCTTCTTCGTCGTCGCCTTGCGTGATGTCCGAGGTTTCTGCACACGCAAGGCAGGAGATTTAGCCATGGTGTGCCAGGCAGGATGGAGCTGGATAATTGAGCCAATTACTGTGGACATGTTTATATTCTCGTGGGAGTCCGCCTACCCCGGGAGAAAGCGGACTCCCATGCCGAAACCCGAGTTTTAAGCCGACCCAGGTTTTAACGAGAGCCTCGATGACTTGATGTCACTCTCTCAGTGACGAGAAAGATTTGATGTCACTCTCTCAGTGACGAGAAAGATTTCATGTCACTCTCACAGTGACCAGAAAGGTTTCATGTCACTCTCGCAGTGACCATAAAGGTTTGATGTCACTCCCGCAGCGATCACTGTGATACTGCGCCACACCGAGGCCAGCGCCGTGTGGCTTTCCGGGGCCAGGCACCTGAAGTGACAGTTCAGGCGTGCTTTGATGTCACGTCTGTTCACTCTGACACCAAGGCCAGCACCTTTCTGGAGCCAGGCACTGAAATCGGCCTGTCAGTCAGTTCATTTCCGTGCATGACAGTCGATGGGGTCACTGAGAGAGTGGCCCACTCGTCATCCCCAGAACGGTCGCCGCTGAGAGAGCGGCTGTGCATTCTCGCAGTGTGACCTTGGGCTATGAATGAATATTCTCCCAGGCTCAATGCTGCTGCTGCAGTGCTGCAAGTGCTGCTCTGAGTGTTGAAGCAAGCACTCTCCCAGTGCTGATTCTTATGTCAAACGCGAAACTCAAATGTCATTGTAGCATTACCAAGGCCGACACGCTGTGGCTTCCCGGAGCCTGTCAGGCCCGGCAATTTTGCTGTCGCTGCAACGAATGAATCACTGTCAGTCACGACACGAGCTCATCATGGTCACTGCGAGAGTGGCCCAACCATCCTGGTCACTGAGAGAGTGGCCCAACCATCCTGGTCACTGAGAGAGTGGCCGTGAGACAAAGAGACACAGAGAGAGAGAGAGAGAGAGAGACAGAGAAAAAAGAGCCAATGGTTTCTGATTGTTTACTGTGTGTTGGCTGGGAGCCGTGACAGCTCGAGGCTTGTACCCGACATGCCGCCTGCATCCTACTTGGCAACCGACACAGAAAGGGTTGATGCGCTGTGGGTTACCGTGACAGAGGCGATAGACAAGCTGAATCGTTTGTGGACGGAAGTGACTTTGCTCCGTTCACAGGTAGACAAACTGAGCTCTTCGCAATCGGATGTGAGCTCACTCCCTGCGAAGTTTCGCGAGCTTGAGGAGGGCTTACTGGAGGCACTGGTCAACATTGAGTGCCGCCTCGACGTGCTTCCTCGCTCACAGACCGTGACGACCACTAGCGATCATGATCTTGGGCCGGAGACGACAGATACTTGCTTGGATTGCATGGACTGATCAGTGGTTTTGCACAGTGAACTGGATCAGCTAAAACAGCCTGGCCAAGCAAGTCGAAGCTGTGTCCCTGCATTGATGAGATGAAGGTCCAGTCTCGCATTTCGTAGTCGGGCCTAGGAGCCTGAAGGGCTCTGGATGCCAAAGACCGACCGAGCAAAAGAAACTGGTCCGAGCACAATGCTTGTGTAAGACAGACAGAGTGTCAGAGAGAGAGAGAGAGAGAGAGACAATGGACTCATTTCCCGGCGCCTTCTGGAGGCTCGGCATCTTCGCACCTTGGGAAAGCTGCAGGCTCACTGACTGTGCTGTGTCTGAGTTGTAGTGAATGTGTCAGCCGTCATGCCTTGTTCGTGCCGATGCTCAAGATGCTACACTTGATTGTGGCCCCGCAAGCATGTTGCAGCCAATGTCACAACCCATCATGCAGGAGACGTCCATGACCGACAATCGTTATATGCGTAATACACAAGACAGGTAGGTCTCCAGAATGCCAATAGCACATACTTGTGTGGACCAAAAACCCGAGAACTGCCCCAGCCTGGTGCAAATCTCAGAAGCGAGAGTCTAGCCTGGTGCAAACACGAATCTCAGAAGCGAGAGACAACTCGTCGCCAGCATGGCAAACTATGGTTCTTGGGACCAATGGGGCCAGAACTCGTGGCCTGGGCAGGAGCCAAGTGCTGGCTCTGGTGGTTATGATGATGCCTGGACACAGAACTGGGCAGAGAATGACACGGGTTATTATGAGAATACCTGGACGCAGAACTGGGCAGAGAATGACGAGGCTGAGGCAGAGGCAGCAACGGCTGCCGCGACACCGAAGTGCAAGCCCAAGCCGAGGCCCAGGAGGAATGGTCAGGGTGCGGCTAAGGCCAAAGCCAAGACATCCGCCACACACAGCCGCGGAGGGTCTCAGAACGCTAGAGAATACAACCGATGGAAGGAGGACCATCAGAGGATGTTGAGGGCAGAATATGCTTTGCAGCAGCAAGAGTCCGCCTTGAAAGATGCCCAGGCGGAGGCTTGGGCTGCCGAGCTGTCGCTGGAGCAGGAGCAGAAAAGGAGCCGGGAGCTTCTCGAGGATGCCGAGCAGTCGTTCGACATAGAGCACAGGAGGAACCGGGAGCTTGTCGACGAGAATGGGATGCTCAAGGCGCAGCTGCAGGAGCTGGAGAAGAAGGGGCGCGGTGCGCAGGCTGAGACCACCGCTGCCCTGACTGAGAAGGCCGCTCTCCAGAAGAAGCTCGACGATGCGAGAGCAGTCTTCAAAAAAGAGTGCATCGAAATGCGGAAGGAGAACGACGAGGCAAAGGCGGACCGAAAGGCTAGCCTGGAGCAGACTGCTGCCATCAAGCGGGACTTCGAGAAGTTCAAGGCACGGGCACTCCTTGGGAAAGTGCCTCGTTGTTTTGTGCCTTGACTGAACAGGAATACATGGATGGCAAAGTGGACCAGGCGGAGAAGAAGGCCAAGGCAGCGATAGCCGAGAAGGCTGGGTTCGTCTCTGGCCTGGAGTCTCACTCCAGCTGTCATTAATCATTGTGCAGGAGAAGACGTATGGGAAGATCATCGAAGATCTGACAGAGGAGAAGGCTGGAAGCTGAGTATTCAAAGCATTGGGAAGAATCACAGATTCAGATTTCGCCCTGTCAGGAGCGGTACAAGCTCCTCTGCGGAGCTTTCGAGCGGCAGTACAACCAGGTTTGCTTATGTTGCGACTCCTGTTGCTTGGAACCTCACTCATCCTCAGATCTTTCCTGCAGGCGAATGCTCCGGCTGCTCCTGATTTTCCCAATGCTCGCCCCTTGAACTTGAAGGCCGTGTCCGGTTTTAGGAGCTCGGGTCGTCTTGTGTGTCATGATGTTTTGCAAACCCATGCAGGTGCTTGGTTCCGGTGCTCCGCCCGAGGCCCGATGACAGCCTTCGACCATGTCCGGAACAGTACTTACAGAAACACAGAATGTGATTTCACGGGCAGGTGTCACGGCCGCCACCTGCAGAGCCCGCTGGAACTTCACCAGAGGCCTCCACGGTTTTTGCACTCGGTTGGTGCCACCCGGACCCGTGTTTGGAGAGGTGGCAACAGCATCGGCTACGGGGTCAGTGCCGCAGGCTCGCGGCTATCCAGGCTAATCATACCATGTTTTGTCCGACTTTACAATTGGGTAGGTGCACAAGTCGCCGGCCAGAGCTGAGTCTCAGGAGCGGAGCCAAGTTGATGCTGAGAATGGATTTCAATTGTTCTTTTATTGGGAGGCTCCCCCCGCAAAGAAAGTGCGCATTTTGCCACCGACTGCCAAGTATGTTCCTGTGACTGCGGCCCCAGACTCAGTATTCAGCATCGAGGAGCGAGCCCCTTCCCCAGCCTTGCAACCATCATTATGTCAGGTGCCCCTGCCAAAGACTCCAGCTCCAATCGAGAAGGCTTTGAACCCAGTGTGAGCAAGTTGCGATTTGTTCTACGTAGATCCATGTCCATTGTCAGGCTCCCAGGACTCCGATCGAGGCATGGGAAAAGAAGTTCACTTCCCGCATCGCTGTTTCACTCAATGTCAGGCACCACAGACTCCCGCCGTTCCCGGTCCACGAACACCGATGCAGGCCCGACCCATCTACGGCCCTCGTGTGAATCGTTTCAATGTCAGCCCACAGCAGGTGCCAGCTCCCAAAACCCCATGGCCAGCGGGGAGTTCGCTGATCGTTCAGGCCGAATTCGAGTCAACCGTTTCAGCCCAAGCCCTTCGTTTGTGCTGTGCCAGGCACGAAAGTCACCTCCGACGCCACCCTCATCACCGGAGCCACACACTCCGACTACTCCCGCTTGACAATCGTGCGGACACCGGTGAATGAAAATACTATTGCGTCCTTCTTTATGTCCACGAACTTCGATGTGCGTGTGTTTTGTGACAGTACCATGACGACATGCAGGCTACACTTTGAGATCGCATGCACAGCCCGATACTCAGAGCCGACACGAATTAAGTCTAGACGCATCCCCAAAACAACGACTGCTCCTGAATTCAGGCCGGCACTGACTCATCATCGAGGGCGCCCTTGACGATGGTGCCAGTGCTGTCCTGCGGAGGACCAGAGTGCTTTTCGCATGTGGAGTGCACACCCACCCCCCCTCACAAAGCTTTTCACCCACTACCCCATCCACCCTCCCCAACCCACGCCATCACCTTCCCCACCCACCCCATCACCTACCCACCCACCCACCCACCCACCCACACACACACACACACAGACACACCACACACACACACACACACACAGACACACACACACACAGCACACACACACGCACACACACACACACACACACGCACACGACGCACGCACACACACACACACACACACACACACACACACACACACACACACACACACACACACACACACGCACACGCCCACACCCACACACACACCCACACACACCCACTCCCTCACCCACACCCACACACCCACACACCCACACCCACAGCCACAGCCACAGCCACAGCCACACCCACACCCACAACACACATACACACACACAACACACACACACACACACACACAGACAGACACACAGCCACCCACCCACCCGCCCACCCACCCACTCCACCCACCCACCCACCCACTCCACACCCACCCACCACCCATCCACCCAATTTTTAGACACTCTCTCAGTGTCAAGGAGGCCCCAGTTGAAGTGCGTCTCACTCCGGGGCCCCCCTTTTTGGCTCTCTCTCAGAGCCGGGACACTCTCTCAGTGCCCCATTTTCGGCACTCTCGCAGTGCCGACTTGGGCACTCTCTCAGTGCCCCCATTTTCGGTGCTCTCTCAGCACCGGGATGCTCTCTCAGCACCCCTGCTGCTGGTGGCTCTCTCTCAGAGCCACGCAGCAGCCAACCCTGAACGAACCCCGTCCTTGCCGAAGTGCTCGTAGATGTTCAGTCAAAGATCACGAGTCGATGGCGAGACCGGGGAGTTTGGTGAGTATTAGGGCTTAGGGGTGGTGTGGCGCAGGGCTTATGTGGGTGTTATTATAAGGATTTAAGTAATTAGGGTTTCGAACTTACAAATCACATATGGTCTAAGGGTCTAAGGCTCTGGTTTTAAAGGGCTTAGAGATTTTAAAGGGCTTAGAGAGCTTAGGGCGGAACTTATTTAAGGGGTCTAGACGATTTAGGGCCGAGGATTCAGCGTTTTAGGGCATCCCAGCAAAGGTTTACGGGTTTTATTTAGGGATATTGGATTTTGGAACCACAAGCCACTGAAACTCCCAACCCCCTACATCAATGCCCCGTGCTAAAGCCACCCCCTTTTCATTGCTTTGGAAAACAAACGACCCTCAGGGGTCCAAATCTCCTAGGTTTGAGCCCTAGAGTTTTGTTGGTTGAAGCAATTGCAGAGTTTTCTCTTCGAAACATATCCATGTAAAATCCATCTGCTTCGGTTGAGTTTCGCTTTTCGGAAAACGATTTCCTTTTGGTGTGTGTATCCAAATCCGGAATCCATCTTCTTTGTGTACTTGATTTCAAAGGTTTTTCTTTCACTCGTTGTGAAACACACAAGATCAGGTGTCAAATCAGGTCTTTTTACTGGGCTCGACGCTATGGAAGACCAATCGGCGATGGCCTCTGGAGCGGCGTCTCCGACGGGTGGCTCCCGTCACAAAGCCCCTCCGACGCCGCTGGTGCCTCCCACGGCGTTGGTCATTGATCCTAACAGAGACGGCGGTGCCAATGCGGCGCCGATCCATCCGGGGCTGGGCATTGCAGCGACGGTCACCGTTTCAGCGGACCCCTTCTAGCCACAGCCAGCACGGCGGGCCGCCTTGAGAATACCTCGGCGAGTCAGATGGCAGCTGCGGCGTCGGCGGCAGAGGTGCCCATGGTGCAGCACTCGACGCCAGCCAGGAGGGACCCAGCGCTGCCCGCGAGCCAGTGGATTAACACGGCCTCAGCATCGCCGTATGTGGCCCCCACAACGAATTCGGCCCCTGCCCAAGCGGATTGGGGCGACGTCCCCTGGGAGCAGCCCCTCGAGGCGGCCCTTGCTCGGGTCCAGGCGGCGGCGGAGAATGTTCACTTCCCACACGTGCGCCAGAGGCCGGTCGACGCCAGCCAACGGCGCTCCTCGGTGCCAACGGCGGCCATGAGAGCCGAGAGGCGACGCAGAGAGGCGTCAGCCCACGACCACCGCCAGTATGAAGACTACGACCCCCACGCTGGGGCGGCACCACCCCATGGACGGCGGAGATCGGGCACATCTCGCCGACGTACTTCGAGTACAAGCACCGCAAACGGGAACGCCAAATGGTCAAAGACATTCAAAGACTCAGCAACGGGCATGTATCACTGCCCGATGTGTCCTGCCCGTTTTGACAAGGCCAACAGTCTCAAGTATCACTATGACGACAAACATGCGGTAGCTGACCCAGACCTTCTGACCGTACAAATGTATTCATGTGACGATTGTGGCCAAACATGGCGTGTTGAAAAACGGCGGCGTGAACATGTGTGTCCAGCGGCTCCTAGAGTGCGGGGGCCACCCAAAATTCATCCGCTCGGCAACTGTCGGTTGTGTGGAGAACAAATGATAGTGCCAAACTTGGAGAGACACGAGGCCGTTTGTCGCGGCCCGGGCAACGCGAATCTAACATGCATTCGGTGTGGAAAGGTTTTGGGGTCTGTTCAGGCCCGGAAAAATCATGAAGCTCGGAACAACTGTGTGTGATCCGCGAAGCGCTCGAAATCGATCGTTGTGCCGTTCGGGTCGGGGCGGGGGATGGTGCGGTGGTGGTCGGGTCGCGTGAGGGGGGGATGCGCGTCGCGCCGTTTTTGTCGGGGGGGCTGTGGGGTTCGCATAGTCGAAACGTATCAACCCTGCCAGACCCGCCACGGTGCACGTCACACGTGGGGACAGCCGGGGCACGACCCACGGCTAGGTAGGGACGGGCCACGTGCCTGTACCCCAGGGTCAAGAGCAGAGGTTGCATGTAAGGGGTTCGTGTTTTTGGTATGGGGGGGTTATCGTGCGCGTTTTCGTCGTATGTGCACGGGACGCAGTGATCTTGGCTCGAATCCGTTTCATAGCCATGGCTACTGACCGTAAGCCGAACAAGATGACGAAAGCACTCCAGGGCGACGTTGGGGAGCTCAGGGAGCAAGTGGCACAGCAGGGGCACGAGATCTCGTCGTTGCGTCGTCGGGTGGACCGATTGGAAAAATCGACCCATCTCGTGATTGAAAACGGAAGCCGTCTGGAGGAGCTTTTCAGCAAGGCGGAGGCATCCCGGGAGTTTAAAAACTTAGCCAGTGACGCCGCGGCGTCGATCTTACGTGAGCTTAGTGTTCTGACTCGACTGCCCATGCCTCTCCGGGAAGTGCCACCTGAATCATGGCACGCCTCGAACAATGAACATGCTGACATATGCATCGATGCTACTGTGTCTTGGTGGGGGTGGGCCCCCGCCCTTTTGAGTGCCACCCGCTTCGTAGCGCCCAACAAGACCAGATCCCGGAAAGACGAGACTACAGGAGAGTGGCGTCGGGCGCCGGGGCATTTTGTTCTAAGACTGGAATTCGGGGAGGCCTCACTTCCGGTGCAACAGGGATTGCAGGGAGCGCTGGGGCAGTGGATCGGGAAGGCGGTGAAAGCCGTTCGTGAGACAGGTGAGGCCTCGTTTAACCTGTACTTGGACAAGACGCCGGAGGAGCTGGAACGTAAGCGTAAGCGGGCAGGATTGGATATGGGAACGTCGTCCACGGGCCGAGGAGGAGGGGGGAAAGGCAAAGGTGGGAGGAAGGGCAAAGGCAAGGGAAACAAGGGTGGCAACTCCAGAGGGGGCGGGGGTGGCCGCCGGGGGGCGAACTGAGGGCTGCGGTCAGCAAGGCCTAGGGCCTAAAAGTTTCACCGAACTGTAGGGAATGCAAGAGTCGTATGTATGAAAGCTAGAGCAGTGGTTCAGGTAGACAACCGTACTGAAGTATGACGCACGTCCCTAGAGTTTATAGAGGCATACGCCGTTCCCCTCAAAAATTTTGCTTAGGAAGTGTCTAGTCCAGGTGTTTTCTGGTGTTTAGAGGCTCTGTCGCGTTCCAAACCCTTTAGTTATCGTACTGCAGTTTCACAGCATGGCTTGAGCAATGGTTCACTGTTAGCCTGACTCAGAGAGGAACGGAGGGTGGGCTGCTTGGATTAATTATTGCTGCGGTCATGTGCTTGATTCAGTTACTTGTTGTGGGCAGCTAAGTAAACACCCGTAGTCTGTCTGTCTGTCTGTACAAGCACCGCACATGGAGCGAGCCGGCGCTTCTGCGCATGCCACCGCATCTGCGGCGCTTCTCCTATGACTCCCTGGCCCAACTCCGGGAGATGGAAGCCCGCGGCGCCCTGCCCAAGCTGGCGACTCCAAGGCGCGGCGAGGATGCACCGGACTACCCGTTCCTCCGACGGCTGCCCACCAACGCAGTCGGCGCCCGCATCACTGTGAGACACAGCATCCATGCACGATGCCGCACCGCGACGCCGTATGCGGCGGTCATGCAGGGCAGATGCCTCCGGCCCATTGCCCTCGGCGCAGCCGGAGCTCACGGCGCCTTTGGCCCGGCGTACGAGGGCCTGAAGGGCACAGGGCGGCGCTGAGGCCGACCCCCGACGCCGGGTGGCTTTGCCACGGCGGGGCCTTTCTTCGGAGCTGGCGTTGGTCGGCGACGACGACACCCTGATGACAGAGCACCCGGCGGTGATCCGTGCCAGAGTTTTTGCTTGCATGTTCGGCGGCGCCCGACGAAGCTCGGCGCCCGCCGCAGACCTTCCATCAGAGCCGCGCCACGGCGCCAAAAAGTGTGACTGCATCGGTCTGCGACGTTCTCTTGTCTGCTTGCACCTCTGTCTCTGCGGTTGCTCGGCGCCCAACCCCTAACCCGCAGCCATTTTTGTTCGAACGCTGTCGCCAGCCCGGCGCCCAACTAGTTATACGGCTCGATGGCTCAGGCGCCCTCGACGGGACCGGCGCCAGGCACCTTTGCGGCATTCTTGGCTGAGGTGGCGGTGGTTGGAGGCGGAGCACACATGTCGTGCTTCGCAGTTTTGGGGGTCACATCCCGGTCGGCGGTGGGACCGGCGGGGCCAGCACGGGCCGGCGTGCCGGAGCAGGTCATCTCGACGCTCGCCACAACGGCACCGCCAGGACCGGTGAGGCAGCCGGCGTCGGCTATGGTGCCACACCGGGCCGGCGGCGGACCCACAGAACACCCAGAGGGCCATCGACGAGGGTCTTCGCTTCCACCACACGGCGGTCGGTCGACTCCCGCATCAAATTCTGGCTGAAGATCGCGGCGCGCCGGCGTGGAACCATGCCCCTCCCCACACACTGCAAGATCCAGATCCTGGCAGCGTGTCTCAAGGACGGCGGCTACAAGTCGGCCCAGCTGTACCTCGACGCCGCCCAGCACGTCCTGCAGCTCGACGTGCCGCTAGCCCTCGGCGTCCTGGCGCCGGAGCCCCTCGACTGCCGGCGGCCACATCATGCCGTCAATAACGTGGTCATCATAGCATATGCCAGTCCGGGGCTAACCGGGTCCTTTCCATTATGGAACCGGGTCCTAGGACTTAGTGTGTTCTTGTCCTAGGACTTATGATGTTGATGTGACATGGAATGTAGCAAGACATGTGTTCTTGTGGCTCAATGGAAGACATGCTGGACATGTGAAAACTTGTGTTCTTGCGGCTCAATGGAAAACAAGACCTGAAAACTTGGTCTCTTCCAAATGGAGATGCATACCTGAAAAACTGTGTTCTTGTCGCTCTATATGGAAGAAGCGAGATGCTGGACATGTATAAAAAGATGTGTGCTTGTGGCTCAATAGAAAAATCAATGCATGAAAAACTTGGTTTGATCGAAATGTGAAAACATGTACATCGAAAAATCAAAGCCATACTGACATAATTGCCTGTCCCAAGTTTTGTAGTTCACATGGAAATTAAAGTTGCCAAAAAAATGAAAATACGTTTATGCCGAACAAACCAAACAAATGTAACTTGGTGTTCTTGTGGCTCAACGGAAACAAAAAGCTTGAGATTTTGTGTTCTGAAACCCTAAAGTCAGCTGTTTGTACGATTCAGAACAACTTGAAAATTAGCATGTTCATGATTAAACATGAAGGGAATCTGAACTTTCGTAACGTCCAGCCCATGCCCTAAACCCTGAACCCTAAACTCTAAACCCACCCAACCCCCAAACCCGCCCACCCATTCAAGCCCAGAAGCTGCAGGTAGGAAGGGGCACACAGGTAGGTAGAGAGGTATAGTTAGGTAGGCAAGTAGGTATGGATAAGTAGATAGGCAGGAGGGAAGGTACTTGTAGGTGTAGGTGCGTCGGCAGGCTTCCAGGTCGGTAGGTAGGTAGATAGATAGCTAGGTAGGCGGGCATGTAGGTAAGGAGGCATTATGAGGAAAGAGGTTTAAAACCCCTAAACCCCTAACCCCTAAACCCTGAACCCTAAATCCAAAACCCGAAACCCTAAACTAACCTTCAACCCTAAAAGGTAGCAGGCAAAAGTAGTTGTAGGCATTCGTGCAGGCCCTGTCAGGATGTCAGGTGGCCACATCAAGGTCTTCGGAGCCCCGTACAGGGGCGTACCCGCGCCAAGGCCTGAATGGGCCGCGGGATGAACCCCGAATAGGGGTGAGCTTGGACCCCGAAGAGGGGTCGTCGGAGCCCCGTACAGGGGCGTACCCGCACCAAGGCCGAAAGGGCTGCGGGATGAACCCCGAAAAGGGGTGAGCCTGGACCCCGAACAGGGGTCGTGAGAACCCCGTGCAGGGGTGTGGATGAACCCCGAACAGGGGTGAGCTTGGACCCCGAACAGGGGTCGTTAGAGCCCCGCACAGGGGCGTACCGATGAACCCCGAAAAGGGGTGAGCCTGGACCCCGAACAGGGGTCGTGAGAACCCCATGCAGGGGTGTGGATGAACCGCGAACAGGGGTGAGGATGAACCCCGAGCAGGGGTGAGCCGGACCCTCAAAGACTGATGCAGAGAGAGAGAGAGGGAGAGAGAGAGAGACACAGCGAAAATAATTAACGAAGCAAGGAAGGAAGCAAGGAAGGAAGGAAGCAGGGAAGGAAGAAGGAATGATCAAGATGAGGGTGTGACTGTAGATGCGAGGAATGAGCAGGCAGCAAGGAGTGATGTGAGGGAGGCGGGAAGGGAAGGAAGAGAAGGAAAGTCATGCATGGCATCAGTATCCCTCTGCTCACTTTCAGTCTGTCGGCGGCCAGGCTGAGACAGTCTGCGCATCGAGATCCTCGAAGAGCCCCGGCCTAAGCCACACGGCCTTCCAAGACTTGACGGCTGCACCATGGGTTGCTTCCAAGCTCAACATGTTGAACTGCAGCAGCTTTTCAGCTCAAGATTCAACGCGATCGAACCGTTTTTGTCTGAGCGAGTGTACTCCGACTGAGGCGATTGTCCTCATGCAAACAAGGCAGTATTATTGACATGCGCATACACGCAGATCGTCAAAGACACGACTAGGAAAGAAGTGCCCCAGTTCGACGTACTGCCACGGAAGTGCAGCAATGGATCGAACGGATTTTGGCAGGCTTCATGGACCTGAAGGAAGTGACGATGACGATCGAACGACTCCTTATCATTCGGATGATAGCGATGGTTCCGCGGCCGATGCCACTACGGAAATGGAAAGAAACATGTTTACGAGAGAAGAATTCCAGCGAATCTGCACCGACCTGGTGCTGGGATGTGTCATGATGAACTTGTCAATGGGATGGCAAATGGAGCGGGCTTTTTTGAGCGATCGGCAACTACGAAGTTTGCTACAGCACTTCCAAACCAAGCACAACAGACGCGGATCCTCTGCAGGTGATATTGTGGAAGCAGGTGTACAGGAACGGATTCCAACAATGCAGAAAGTACGCATGGTTCGACAATGCGACGTACTCCAAGGAAAGTTGCGAATGGAAGTGAACCCGGTAGATGCAGAGAGATTGCGGGGCTTGGTTGAGCAGCCTCCCGGCTGGGATTGGGATTTGCCTGATCGAGGAACCATGGAAAGGCTTTGCGAGGGCATTCTGGCCAACTCGTTTGAGTTTGAACGGATTCCAGTGACGGATGCTAGACGGATGGCAGTTCAATACTGCGAGGTCATCCGTCCACTGTTCGCTGTGAGGTTCCTGTCAATGGTTTTGCTGGGCATGCGGGACACGTACAGAGATCAGCTTTGGTTTCTGCTTCGCAGGCATGGAAGAGTCCTCAACGTATAGACGGACTGTACGTATAAGCAGTCTCACAAAAAACTTAAAAAGGGACTGATGTACGGATACACAGTCTCACAATAAACCAGGAATGGCGAGAAAAAACGTCTCAGTTGCTTAACAAATTGCTTGACGTGCCTTACTAATTGCTGGACCTAAACCCTGCACTCGTCGACCTGAGGTCAAGCCTTCTTCATGCCAAATTCGCTGGCAAGATCGACATTGTGTTTGGAGGCTCGTCCGGCTGCTCATGTTTGCATAAACCCTAAACCCTAAACATCCGGCCGGTACCACTACAAGATTGCGCGCCCGGCACGCGTACGCCTGTGCGCCCGGAGCGCGTTCGCCTCAACTCCCGGCGCGCAGACCTGTGCACGTTGCAAACAGACTAAAGAATTGTATTATCACGTCCGGCACGCCCGGCGTGCACCCGCTGCGCGCCCGGCGCGCGCCCGCTGCACACCCGGCGCGCGCACCCTGGGTATATTTGG